AACTGTAAATGAAACCAAAACTAGTATTGTGACCTCAGAGAGAGAGTCTATCTTAGTATTAAGAGATGAAATCCAACAACTTCACAAGAAAATCAAACTACTAAAGAGAATGATGAAATGGCAAGAAAAGTTAAACACTCTTCAAATTATCCAAAAGTACTTGTAAAGTAAATCTCTTGATATAATTATCTTCAACTCAACACTTATGAAGTGTCTGTCAGTCTTGAGATCACTATAATACATGAAGCTCTATCAGACTGGCTTCTATACAAAATATCAGCAGTTCATCTTCAGTATTGAATTCACTTGCAACACAAGCAAATTGAATGATGAGGAAACTCTTGTATACACTTTCACAGAACTTGATTACATTGAAAAAGATCTCCAGAAGATTTACTGTGAAAATAATCTATTAAAAAATAACTGGAATGATCTCAAGAAATTTCTATGTGTGAGGCTAGAAGATTCAGTAAATTACATGTGAAACTCTTGGCAAGCAATCTTCAATCTTTGCAAGAGTTTGGATGAAACTGATCAAGCCTACTGCTAATGATTTCTAGACCTTGTGACAGAAATTGGTGAAGAATTTGAAAGCTTTAAAAAAATGAAGAAGAACCTATATATAGAAAACTTGAATAAGCTCATGTAAGCTAAACTGAATGAACAGCTGGAAATACCAGATAATATTGATAAGATAGTAGCACTGACTACCTAACTCTGACCAAGTATTACAGCAGCTCTTGAAAAGAATGTCTTGCATGTGAAGTCTGTTAATTCTGTTGAAAGTACTTGTGAAGATATAAAGACTGATGACTCAAGACTGTAAACAGATAAGAGAAGTCAACTCCAGAGATCTGCTCAGAAGATGGGAAAAGATCTTATCAAGAATTGTGAAGCTTTAAGAAAAGAAGAAAAGTGCTTTGAGTGTGGCCAAAAGAAGCATCTTGTAAAAGACTGTTCCAAAAAGAAGAGTAGTAAATAGGAAATTAGAGGGCTGCAAGTAGATAGAATTAATATAATAAAGTTGTTCAAGAAAAGTCTTCTTGCTCTCTTCTCCATTATTCTAGATATACAAAATCTAACTGACAGAAGTATCATCTGATCAGCACTAATAGACTTGAGTTATCAATCTCTAGTAATTAGTTCACAATTGGCTATAAAGCTAGTGCTAGAGGTGCACAAGATGCCTATAAAGATTGAAACTGCTATAGATTATGAGAATGTTACTCTTGTGAAAGAGATTGCAAATATATTCTTTAAAGTCTGTAACTCTCAGGAAAACTGGTAGTTATTCTATAAACAAGTAATGATCACAAACATAAAAGATAAGATACTAGTGAATTTGAGCTGGCTGCAGTAACACAATCTCAAGATGTATTTTAGAGAACTAAGACTAGAGTTTCAAACTGTATATTATGACCTGCTCACAAAGATTAAACTAGTTAATCTCTTGAAGCTAGTGGAGAGAGAGAAGCTCATCTATATAATGACTTTCTGTAAATCAGAACAGATGGTGACAGCAGATCTAGATTTCCAGATACCAGAAGTCTACTGCAAACTTACAGAAGTGTTTAGTGACAAGAGGGCTTGAGAGCTGCCACCATACTGTAAAGATGATTTGGTTATAGATCTTGAGCTGGAGAAGTAGCCAGAATTTGAAAGAACATACAGACTTTTGCAAGCTGAACAAGAGACTCTTTGTGAATATCTGAGCAGTACTCTAATTTATGAGTTCATTCACTCTTTCAAGTTATCTGTGAGAGCATCTATTCTGTTTGTGTTCAAGAAGAATGGCAGACTAAGAATGTGTGTAAACTATTGTGATCTGAATTCAAAAATAGTCAAGAATAGATATTCTCTATCACTGATTGAAGATGTGTTGTATAAGCTTGTGGGAGCTGTAATATTTACTCAGTTGGATGTCAAGAATGCCTACTATAGATTGAGAATTTATGAAGAAAATGAGTGAAAGATTGTATTTTAAACTCTACAGAAGCTATTTGAGTACTTGGTAGTATTTTTTAAACTTGTGAATGCACTGGCAGTCTTCCAATTGTATATTGCAAAGGCACTTAGTGAATATCTGAATGTGTTTACAGTGATCTATCTTGATAATGTGGTTGTGTACTCAGCTTGTGAGAAAGATCATGAGAAGCATGTGAAATTGATACTTAAGGTACTCAAGAATGCAGGCTATCTTGCATATATCATAACACCAGAGGGTGTTCTTATAAAGAAGAGCCACATGAACACTATTCTTGACTGGCCAGAGCTAACCAGTAAGAAGAAGATCCAGATCTTCTTAGAATTTACAAACTTTTACAGATGCTTCATCTCAAGATTCTCTAAGATAGTCTGCAGCCTGACTGCTCTTCTAAAGAGAGAAGAAGCAAAGCTAAGCAGATGTATGTGAAGAGAGATGAGAAGAGAGATCAACACTTTTATGACTGAAGAAGATTGTAAAGTCTTTATAGATCTAAAAAGAGTGTTTGCAGAAGCTGTTATAGTTCACTATTTTAATATGAAATGGAAGACCAGACTGGAAACAGATGCATCTGGCTTTACAGTATGTGATATTCTATTACAGCTGGCAAAGAATGGTATTTGGGTTCCAGTTGAGTTTTATTTACAGAAGATGCAATCTGTAGAGATGAATTATGACATTTATAATCAAGAACTGCTTGTGATTGTGGAGTTATTTAGATATTAGTGCTGCTGGTTAAAGGACTTACAAACACCAGTTCAAGTTCTTACAGATCATGATAGCTTGCACTATTTTCAGACTGCTCAAGACCTCTTATAAAGATAGGTCTGCTGGACACAAAGACTGACAGTCTTTTGGTTCACAGTTAACCATATGAAAGAAACCAAGAATCTGGCAGATGAATTCTTATAAAGATCTAATTATGTTAAGAAGACTGGTCTAGATGATACAGAGAGTCATAAAACTGCAAATTAACTGAGAGTAATGCTTGTGAAGGAGCAAGAAACTACAGAAAAGTTGGGACTGACAGCTCAAGTTTCTTCCAATCAGAGAGAAAAGAGAGAAGATGAGAATATATAACTTATCTTCACAAAGCTTTAAGTTGTAATCAAGAAACTACTTGCAAAGATTGTCTTGAAAGACATGTGCAAAGTAAAAAATATTACAATGCAGGTTCAGAAGACTAAAGAACTGGTTCACAAGAAGAATTCTTATAAAAAGAGCAGCTCTAACCTGTTAGCATTATTGCTAAACCTACTGCAAAGTAATGACTATACAGCTAAAGTCCACAAAGACATTAAGATAAGCATGAAGAAATTTGTAATGTGGAAAAAGAAGAGAGGTATTCTCTATAAAAATAGTTGCATGTACATTTCTCAGAATAAGATCTTGTGAATAGAGCTGATCAAACATCATCATGATTTATCTCTTGCAGAGTATTTTGCTACAGCAAGAATGTATAAGCTTATAGCTTGCAAATACTTTTAGTTAAGAATAAGAGAACTGGTGAAGAAGTATTGCAAAGCCTGTAAGATCTGCCAGAACTCAAGAAGAGTTTACAAAAAACTTCAAGAAGAACTATTACTCTTACTAATTCTGAATTACTCTTGAGAATTTATTAGTATGAATATTATTACAGATCTTTCTGTAAGTCTGAATTTTAAGAAGGTACAGTTTGACTGTATTCTGGTTGTAGTGAACTAGCTTATAAAGATGGCTCACTTTATCTCTACTGACATCAGAAAAATTAGCTCATCTCTTTATTTGTAAGATAGTGAGATTGTACAGATTACCTGCAAGCATAGTAACAGATTAAGAATCTCTGTTCACAAGTGAATTTTAAGATGATTTGACTCACATCTTGAAGATTGCAAGAGTAATGAGCATGGTATTTCATCTGTAAACTAATAGTCAAACTGAGAGACTGAATAGTATGCTAGAGCAGTATCTGCAAAGCTATATCAGTTATAATCAAGATAACTGGATGATGTGATTGCCAAAGGCAGAGTTCATGTACAATAACTTACAGCAGGTCTCCACACAGAAATTATCTTTTCAGCTGATATATAGATTGAATTTGTAAACAGATCTGTTGAACTCTGAGAAGTATAATTATGTGTGCAAGAATTCAAAGAATCAGATGAAGACAATAAGATTGCTCTACAAGAAAATCAAGAAATCACTTACAAAGACACAAGTCTACCAGAAGAAGTACTATAATCAAAAATACACTATAAAGACTTTTCAGATGGAAGACAAGATGTAGCTTGACCTTCATAATATCAAGATCATACAGCCTAACAAAAATTGGATTTGTTGAGGCATGAGCCTTGTAGAATTATAAAGAAGATAGACTCACAAGTCTACAGACTGAAGCTGCCTTCAGGTCTGTAAACTCATGATATTTTTCATGTATTTCTGCTCCACAAGTACAAGACCCACAAAGAAATTGATAGCTCATCTCATCATAAAGTTCACAAGACAAACAAGAATAAAAAAAAGTATCAGATCTGCAAGATAATTGACTCAAAGAGAGAGAATCACAAGCTGTAGTACAGAGTACATTAAGAAGATTATAATAATGAGAAGAACAAGATATGGGTTTCCACAAGCAATGTCCATTCACTGAGAAAGCTACTCCAATAATTCTATAGTAGAAATCTGGACAAGCCTGGTTTGTGAAAGAGATGAATGGAGGTAGTAGAGCTAGAAAATAAGTTAGAAAGAGAAAAGATATAGTCAAGCTGAACTGAATCAAATTAAATTGATCTTAAAAGAAGAAAAAACTAAGCTAAGAACTATATAAGAGTCTCCAGCTTTCTTCTGTAAAGATCTGTAACAACTATCTATAATCTTACTACTGGAAAGAGCAAGCAAGATGTCTATAATATAGATAGTTATTATATTTTTGACTCAAGTCTGCAGAGATGCACTCTGTAAAGACTATATTACTATAGTCTTGCTGAGCTCTCTTGCAGGTGGAGCACTTCTGTTCTGATGACAGCTGAACTCCACCTCAAGTCATGAGAATACTTTTATAGAGCTGGGTATGGACAGTCAACTGGTTTAGATTATTCAAACCAGTAATAAGTACAGATTTTTGAATAGGCTTGTAATACCATGCTCTTTTGTAAGCAGATAAAGCTTGTGCCCCAGTATGGGGTGAGAGATCTGGAAGAATCACTGGATTGACCTGCAAAGCACTAGTAAAAGCAGTGACTGGCAGTATTTGAATGAAGATGATCTGGAACCACTATTGTCAGTCTTACAGAAGGGAATACTGGACAATTTCAAGCACTCTGTGAAATCATGACACCCACAAACTCTGCCAGAGCAGGGGGAACAGCAACAACAATCTAGAGAAGATTAGCTGTAAACTGAAATGTGATAGAGAATACTTACATTTCTAGTCAGAGCTGGAGCAGCAACAACTGTAGAGAGAGAAGACAGAGCAGAACCCTAACTTCATCAGCATGTGAACCAATACCAGCTTACAAGAAGTACTTACAGCTTGAGCTGGTAAGAGAGAAGCAGTAACAACTGGTAAAGAAGAGGGAGAGGAAGAAGTAATAATGCTCTAGAACTATCAGTCATGAATACTTTCCAAATTCTCAAGACTACTTACTGAAGGCCCAACTTCTTTCACAAAAAGAGAGATGAAGATTCTCTCAAGAGAGAAGAGTGGTAATAACTTGCAAGAGAGAGAGAAGAAAGACTGTAAATCTACAGAAACTTCTAGCAAGCATCAGTCTCTCTGCAAATTAAACTTTACACAAAGACAAAACTTCATAATCACATAAAGTAAAGATACAATTAAGAGTGAACTCATTAACTTGTAGTCACAAGATCAAGTATGCAGAATGTCTGGATAAAGTTATTTTTAATTCTTCTAATTATTAGAGATCTTCTACAAGCCTGCCTTCCATATAAAGCAGTGCTTGAAGGGTTCACTTATCTTGATAATAATAATATAGACTAGAGAAGAAAGAGAAGAAAAGAAGAGAAAGAGAAAGTAAGAAAAAGCTCTCTCTTAAGCTAGTGCTCATTATCTAATAGTGATACAGAGCTAGTAAGAACAATAGAGATTCTCTACATATTGTTGTGTTATTGAACTCTGTTGTGTTATTATATTGTGTTGTATTATTAGAGTTGTGTTAATATTACATCTCTAGTAAGACTGTACTCTTTTTCTTATAAGGAAATTTTTATTTTTTCTCAAAAGATTTTATTTTTCTACTTATAAAGATTTTTAATAAGACAGCTGTCTTGAGAAACCAAGACTTACCAGAAGAGAAAATCTGTAAGAATTTGTCTGCAAACCTCTTATATAGATAAACAACACCTACAAGGGCCCAGAATCTCAGCTTGTGAGCTGTTGAGAGTACATGTGTTCTTGCAAGACACTAAGTTATGTGCTCATGAGCACACATAAAAGGCTGTCACTGTGTGAATTTCTTGTTAAGAGTCAGTGGCAATCTTGTCTACAAGTCATATATAGTTGCCAATACCAGATCTTTTACCTCATGTACTCTTTTTCACATATAATTTCTTCTATAGATTCATTGTCATGCTGATCTACACATACAATCCTCACACTAGCTTTATTAATTTACCAGTATTTTATGCTGAATAATTAGATTGATTAGATTTTTTGAAGAAAGCACACTCTGCACTTCTAGCCACATGATTTTCTGAGCAGTTAGCACATTTTAATGTAGAGTGTATACATTTTCTTCCAGTAATCTTACAAATTAAGCATTCATGCATACTTGTTTGATGTTTTTGAATACAGATATCATATCTAGCTTCTTTTTTACAGTTTGGTGCTGTATAATTATAGATTTAATAGTTAAAGCATTGTACAGTGCTTCTAAATCTTTCTGGCTGTTTATATTTACAAACTTTAAGGGTCTGTCCAGCAATTATAACTGTTTTCAGATTTTCAGCTATAATAGTATTTTGAACATGGAAAATAGGAGATGTATTTTTTTCTGTGTTCTATTTTCAGAAGAAGATAGCCAGATTGAGGTTCTTTTTAGAGAAATAGAATTAAAGACTTTTATTTCTTCTTTCAGAAGAGATAATCTATTCTCTATATTAAAGATTTCTGTAAAAATACCATAAACTACAAAGACTTTCTAGTACTTATCTTTGTAAATTTTCATACTTTCTATATCAAGATTCATTAGATCTGAGAATATAGATATTCAAGTCTGCTTGTGCTTTTCAAGAAAATCAGCTGAAAAGTTTTCTGTTGTTATCAGAATTAGAGATTAATCTTTAAATAACTTAGCTATTGAAGAAATAACTGGTTTTTTAGTGATATTTGCTTCAGTAAAGCTGTCATTTATTCTATTTCTAAAGAAGAAAACTTTGTTACTGATCTCTTCAAGTAGTTAAGTATTTATCTTAAGAACTAATCTCTTTTCTCTAAAGAGCTTTAACTTAAAAGATCTTTTTTGATCTTTAACTTTACTGTTTAGTTTAGAAGATGAAGAAAGAAAAGAAGACTTAGCTAAAGATTCAGTATTTAGTCCAGTCTTTAGAGCAGAAGAGTATGATTTGAAAGTATTACTAGCAGATACTTTGTCTTAAGAGCAGATTTCTGAAGTATTATTATTATTACTTTTAGTAAATACTTTCTGATTTTCAAGCTGTGTAATTCTTTTCTCAAGATTTAGCTATTTAGGATTTTCAAAGACAGTAGTATCTTGTGTTTCTTGAAAAGAAAAGATTTTTTTGAATACTCAAAATACAAGTATTTAGTTCTTTTTGCACAAGAATATGATTCTTTTTCTGAGATTCTTTAGCAAGAAGATTAAGAATTGACATTAAATCTTGCTGTTCAGAATCAGAAGTAAAAGATATTTTGACTATATTTGAAGAAATATCTTCTTGAATAAGACAACAGAAGATAATCTTTTAAAATAAAATTCTCTGAGGTTATTTTGTATCTTACTTGCTAGTTAATCTAAACTAGTTCAGTTGTTTTACTGAAAGCTGAAAATCTCAATATAGTAGGTTTTTCTTTAGTCAGAGCAACATCTATTAAATTCTGAACTAGTTTTTTGAGAGAACTAGCAAACTATATAGTTTTTTTGAAGACTATAATCATGGAAACAGCTTCTAGGGTAAAAACTATAGAAAAACTATTAGAGGAGCAGAGGGCAAGAGAACAAGCTAGTAAATCTAAGAGATATAAGTAATTATGTCTTAAAAATTAGTTAGATTAATACTAGCAAGTATATTTTTTGAAGAGAAATATCAAACTAGAGAGCTTTTTGCAGAGAAGCTTTCAGAAACCAGCTGAGAATATTCTTAAATTTAGTAGCAAAAACCTATATTCAAGATGTCAAAGTCAGTACTATAAAAATAAGATATACTCTGAGCAGAGAAGTAAGAAGAGCATCTGGTTTTTTTATACGTAGCAGTACCAGAAAGCTAGCATATTTTTTATCAGATGAAAAAGATAGCAAACCTGTCAAGTCACTAGAAATCTAGCTGGATTTTCTTCTTAAATGCAGAAAAATTAATAAAAACTGCTCTGATTTGCAAAGTAGTCTATATTATAGCTTGTTCCTAGTTTAAAAACTTAGTTACTATAAGTATTTGAAAAGCTATTTTTCACTAATTAATTCTGATTTCTCAGCTACCAAACAGTATAGAACATACTAGAATTTAGTAGTGATTGGTCAGAATTTGCAGGAATCAATTTGGCTCAGCTATACCAAGAGTATCAAGTTAATGGAGCTGATTTAGTGCTGGCACAAAGTCTGGAAAGCAAAGATCAGATGAGAAGAGGTAGAGAGATAAGATAAGAGTAGATAAGATAAGAACTCTAGCTTACTTGGCACACCTCAACAAAAATATAAGTAAGCAAGAGTCTTGACAAGGAAAATCAAAACAAAAAAGTATCTAGTAAGAGATTTTTCAGATAAAAATAGTGTAATAACACAACAAATAATAGAGATATAATAAAGAAAATTTGGTAGTTTGTATAAAGAGTACTATTAAGGTTGTCTCTTAAATTTTAGATGAAAAAACCATGTGATTGCTGAGTAATAGTGTGAGAAGTATTTCTGACAGGTGTGAAGCTGGCACCATCTATTTCCACTTATATCTCAACAACTTGCAGGGCAAATCCACTGAAAATTGGAGAAATTCTTAGGTAGAGATGTTATGAATCTTGTGGCACAGCAGCCAAAGGCACAGAATGATTGGACAAGACCTGACAAGACAAAGTTACAGACTATTGTAGAGAAACCTTAAGACCAGAAGTCACATGATCAGAGAGTAATACAAGCAAGACAAGATATAAGAAAAAGAGTATTATGTATCATAATACTACAGCATGAGTAATCTAAGAGAAAGTATCACAAGTATTATTAAGAAAGCATCATGTATATAAGAATACTTATTACTAGAGATTCAATAGACTTGTTCATTATAATTAACTTTTCTACTTATCTTATAGATACTTTTAAATCAGATACCTTTATATCTTGATTACTTTTTATATTATTGAAGTCTTGTAATACTGAATAATTGTATCTGATTCCACTACTCTTGAGAAGGCACAATAGTCTTGCTCTAACTCTGATACATCTGTACAGAAACTCTTTGTCATCAGAGCAAGACTATCCACTCAACTAGAGCATTATTAAACTATTAATTACTATACTCTAATCTGTAGTTATTCTTCTAAAGCTTTTTGATACTTTTCAATACTTTAAAGAACTTCAGAAGACCTTAACCAACACAATATATTAATTATCTCTAACTCAGAAGAGAATATATCTGAAACTCCAGAGATTGTATATAAAAAAAGAACTTTCTGCATTATATTGAAGATAAAAATATAACTTCATCCCACATCAAGATCTAACAGAATATAGAAACCATGTCTGCATTGAAAACATCAGTTATTAACACTCAAGATCTTATGAATAGAATCTTGAAGCTCAAACAGATTACTAAGAAGCTTGAAGAGCAGAATCATAAATTGAAAGATTATAATAAGCAGCTTAAGATCTAAGTCATGGCCATTTTATCTACTGAACAATAGAAAAAGAAAGATAAAGCTAAAGTCAACTCACTAGAACTTTTCAAGAGTAAATAAGAAAAATTACAAGCTTTCTTAAAACAATTGCACATCTACATAAATATGAAAGACAAAGAACTGAACAATAATAAAAACAAGATAATAATAGCAGTATTATATCTTTACAGAGCAGTATTTAATTAATTTAATATCTATCTGTAAAATTACTACAAAAAAGATGAAGTTAATCAGAATAACAATATACTTAAGATTATTGACAGTTACAACATCTTTATTCAGATATTAAAAACCACTTTCAGAGAAGTTGAAGAATAAAATGCAGCAGCTCAGCAGTTACATTATATATAACAAAAGATATCACCACAAGACTATACTATAAGATTTCAGCAAGTCTGCATCAATACTGATTGAAATAATAAAGTCTTAGTCAACACTTTCTATCAAGAACTATTTAATAAGATTAAAAACAAAATAATATAATTAGAGAAACAATCATGCACTCTGATCAAGATAATTAAAGTAGCAGTCAGAATCAAAAACTAACTTTACAAATAAAAGATAAAAAAGCAAGAAAAAGTATTATGAAAGCAATCTAGTTTATTAGACTACACTGAAAGTCAAGACCAGACCAGAAATATATAATCAGACTCTTATAGACACACATCTATAAAGCTGGATACAACAAAAGTTAACACACTTAATAAGAAAGAAAAAGAGCAGAGAAAGAAAGAGAAACTGTACTTCTATTATACTAAGCTCAGATATCA